CATGTTAATTATTTCAATTGAAAGAATAAATAATTTTTATTTACAAAGATCTATTACATTGTATAATCTATGGGCTGATGATAATTTAGAGTTTGGTGCCCAAGATTATGATTTCACTATTACCGTTAATTTATAAACATAAATTATAGATAATTAAAATTCTAATGCAGATGGATTAATGTAAACATGATTCAGTTTCATATTAAAAATCCATTTTAGAAATTAATATAATTATGTACATTCCACAGAACTAGTATTATGTCAAAATAAGTTTTTTTTGTCATTATTTAATGAGTTAGTCAAAATTATAACAGAATCATGTGCCTGTAAAAAATTTTATGTAAAGTCAGCTGCATGAAAGTTTAGATTTTAACATACTATTGATATTTATATCCTTTGTGTAGTAATTTTGTATCCATACATCTTTATTCTGTACTCACTTTTGTTTAATGCTGAAAAAATCTGATGAGCCTATGGCTTAAAGCTTATAAGAAAATAATTAAATGCTGCAAATTTTTCCTAGTATGTGTACTGGTAAATTATTATTTTTCAAAATCTGGAAATTTATCCCCCCCCCCCCCCCCCCACATGATTTCAATACAGGCAAGACAAAGTTTTTTCATATTCATTTTAAAACAATATTTTGAGAGAAAATAAAAGAAAGTTGTACTACCAAAACAAAAACGTTAAAATATTCTAAGTATCAAGATTTTTTTTATTTATAAAAAGAAAGTCAGATACTCGAATTTTCTTATTCAACAAAGAACGACTTAATAAAGAACAAGGCAGTTTAGGAACGACCTGCTATCTTCAAAATGGCGGAAAATGGCGCGAAAACATATATATATATATATATATATATATATATATATATATATATATATATATGTATATATATATAAAAAGAATACGTCTAAAATCTTATGGCTTGAAAAATTACAAAGTCTGAAGAGATTTTGGTATATGCCTACTTGAAGAAAAAAAATACCACAACTTTTCATCATCTATAAGTGTTTATAAGTAGCTGCAGATCTGTAGCGTTATGGTTTTACTGTATTTGTCTTTGAGCTACAGATCCCGTAATGCAAAAAAGGTGCAATTTACGGTGCAGTATTTTTTTATGCACTTTTGGGGAGAATTTCTCCACTTTCCAGTCTCGGTCAACCAACTACCTTTCACTCCCTAATTCTAGACACATTCTGTAGCCAATATGTATATTTTATCCACCTCCCAACCATTTATAGTTGTCTCTACAGGCAATAAACTTGCTTGAAGTGAATTTTCAGCAATCTAACAAATAATTTTAATCAAGCGAGTTTATCACTTGTAGAGACGACTATAAAGGGTTGGGAGATGGATGAAATAAACAGACTAGTTAAATAATAAGCCGTGAATTAGGAAGTAAAAGGTAGTTACTTGACTGATGTTGGAAAGTGGAGAAATTCTCTCCAAAAGTGCGCAAAAAATATTGTGCCGTAAATTGCACCTTTTTTGCATTACGGGATCTGTAGCGTTATGTTCAAAGACTAATATAATAAGATCTGCAGCTATGTTTATAAGCAGAAGGATGGAGACCCAGATAGGTATTTACATGAATGAACACATGCACTTTTTTAGCACTTTCACTTGACAATTAATGCTATAATTAAAAACGTACTACAGGGTACAGTGTTTTAAGTTGTTCCGCATTTCAACCAGGAAAATACTCGGTGCATTATTTGTTACCTTTCCTTTTTTTTTTTTCTTACATATCAATAAAGTACTTACATATTTATAAACCAAGACCCAAGTACCTATGTTTTTATCGATAAAATTTTTTTAATCTGAATTATATCGTATATTATGTGTAGTAGTGTAACAAATGCGATTTCTTTTTATTGTTTTTAGCTCTACTGGTCAGTAGTGGTGTTTCGATTATCGCCGACATCGCCGAATCTATCGCTGAAACCCAACCGATTTCGATTAATCGGATCGAAATTTGAGATCGATTAATTGGTAAAACCCGTAAACGTACGAGTTTACAAAGAACAAACTGTTGTTGACACGAATAGTCGAATACACTACATTGGCAAAGATGGCGGCGCCCTGTGTCGCAGACAACGAGGACGACCAGCGAGAAATACTTCCCTACCCCGGCACTAAATCGAAGTCGGAGGTATGGAAATACTTTGGATTTTACAGAAAGACAGCCGGTCCGCCGACGAAACAAAACTTAGACATGTCAAGAGCCGTTTGCAAACTCGTACACCAATAGTGGTACTATATCGACTTTACGCTCTGTCGTCCTTGGTAAGAAGTTTGGAAAAACGCTTTACACGCTACTGGTCCTCCAGTAATTATCGGACAGAAATCGTGCGTTTTTCAGATTTTCTAAGCAGTGTTGTACAATTAAATTTAAAAATTTACATTTCGCCAGAGGTTAACTCAAGAGCAAAACAAATATATTAAAATATTTTATGATTTTTGCTTGAAAAATTGTTTAAAGATCACTAGAAAACATACCGAAATTCATTCAAATTTTGAAGAGCGGACCAGTAATTATCGGACACCTGGTTTTTACAGGAAAAAAGATGACATTTGAGAGGTTAAAAATTGATTTCCAAACACTACTGTCAATATCCTAGTCTATGATGTCAATTTCTTGATCCAGTGTGAATTTCTTTCTTCGTATTTTGCGAGGTTGTTATGTAATTTGTTAGTTACAAGTAGTTAGTACTAGTTACTTGTTAGTAGTTACCTTGTTACTGTAATTGCCAAATTTCATGTTAATAAGTTGTTAGTTACATTGAATAGTAAAAAAATAAACATTTTATAGAGTCATATATCCTTTATTTCACATATGTTTCAAAATAAATATGGAAACCGATTAATTCGATTAATCACTAAAATCGGACTCCGATTATTAACCGATAATCGGTTTCAGATTTTTTCCGATTATACAACACTACTGGTCAGAGACCAGAAGAGCTTATGCGATAGTAATGCGTCCGTCATCCGTCCGTCTGTCTGTCTGTCTGTCTGTAAACAATTTTTCAAAATGCTACTCCTCCTACAGTTTTGGTCCGATTTCAATATAACTTGGCACACAAGAAGACTACACTAAGATACATAATTTTGTGCATCGGTTTTTGATTTCGATGAACGGTGTTGCCGTGGTTACTAAAAATAGAAATTTCTGTGAAATTCTTTCAAAATGCTACTCCTCCTACAGTTTTAGTCTGATTTCAATATAACTTGGCACAAAAGTAGAGTACACTAAGATACATAATTCTGTGCATCGGGTTTTGATTTCGATGAACGGTGTTGCCGTGGTTACTAAAAATAGAAATTTCTTTGAAATTCTTTCAAAATGCTACTCCTCCTACAGTTTTGGTCCAATTTCAATATTACTTGGCACACAAGTAGACTACACTAAAATACATAATTCTGTGCATCGGTTTTGATTTCGATAAACGGTTATGCCGTGGTTACTAAAAATAGAAATTTCTTTGAAATTCTTTCAAAATGCTACTCCTCCTACAGATTTGGTCGGATTTTAGTATAACTTGGCACACAAGTAGACTACACTAAGATACATAATTCTGTGCATCAGTTTTTGATCTAGATAAACGATGTTGCAGTGGTTACTAAAAATAGAAATTTCTGTGAAATTCTTTCAAAATGCTACTCCTCCTACAGTTTTGGTCTGATTTTGATATAACTTGGCAAACAAGTAGACTACACTAAGATACATAATTCTGTGCATCGGTTTTTGATTTCAATGAACAATGTTGCCCATGGTTACTAAAAATAGAAATTTCTGTGAAATTCTTTCAAAATGCTACTCCTCCTGCAGTTTTGGTCTGATTTCAGTATAACTTGGCACACAAGTAGACTATACTAAGATACATAATTCTGTGCATTGGTTTTTATTTTGATGAGTGGCAAGGATCATTTTTCTGTTTATTGCTGATTTAAAGTCTCAAGTCCCAACTGCTACTTTTCTCTTCCTTTGTTTTAAGTATAAACCAGTAGAGCTACAGTCTCGACAGAGACTTCTGGTTTTTTTCTTCTCTTTCTTTTTTAATGAACTGCGGATATGCAGTGCAAATGTAAGCTGTGTAGAGGATTTTGATAGTACATAACTAGGCTCACCTCAACGGTCACACCCTAAAACACTGTTAATGCATATGGAATTAGGCCTAGTTATGCTCTATCAATATGAAAAAATCAGACGTCCAAAATGTACCTGCTACATTTGTGAATTAGACGAATTGAGAAAAATTGAAGCAGAAAACTATCAGAACTTTTTCTTTATAAATATAGAAATTTAATTTAAAAACTTAAGGGTCCTCCACACACACCCAGCTTATGTTCTCATATTACTGTGCATTACTAATAACAAGAATATCAACTTTTAAAAACTGGCCAGGAATAAAACATAATTTATACTGATTTTTTAAAATAATGAAATATTAATTTCTCAAGTTTCAATATATTTCCCAAGGCGTTTTCATACCTAGCACAGCAAATTTTGTCTGAACCTTTCACATATTTTTAAGCTCACAGAATAACCATTAAAACTTAATTTTATTGATCAATATATTTTTTAGAGAAATTTATTTGATTTATAAAAACACAGGCTCAGTTGATGATTAGCCTGAAAGTATAAATAACCTAAAAGTTTCTCATCATACTGGCACCCGTTGTTTACGAATTATTATGTAACATAATTCCAGACGTCTGTTGTTCTTCTATTGAAAAAAAAACCGCACATCTTTTTTCTATCTGTCACTCCGTGATCATGCCATGTGTTCATTGTTTATGATTAGGGTGTTGCTCTCAGTGTACTGCATACTTTTCCCAAAGCAAAACATTTATCTCTAAAGCATTTTTAAGACTCTCTTACAAGCGGTGCCAGGCAAATCGTCAGTGCACAAACTAGATAAAACCGAAAGTAAAAGTATTTTTTCTGTGTGAAGGAACCTTAAGTAATTTGATAATTTGGGACCTAGCATCTTGTAGAAGCAAGAAAGAAAATCAACTTAATGAATATTTGCTTTACTTTTTAAATTGAAGATAGTTGCTGATAAAATGTCAAAAACTAAGAGAAAATTATCTGACCAAGAAGAAAGGAAAACTGGTAAGAAATCTTTGAATATACATGTTCATCTGTGATCAGCTTAGAGAGTGCATTGGGTCCTATGTATGGATAGTTCTTGTTTGGCATATTTTCTTTCTGAGTTTTTTCCCTCATGATAATTTAAGGAAAGTGTTATTCAATTTCATGTCATCTTTTTAGGAGGTTGAGGGGAGAGGGGAGTTCAAATGTAAAATATTTTATAGAAATACGTCATATTTGTTCTAGGAAAGAAGAGAAAGAGTACAGAAAATGAGGAGAAATACTTTAAAGACAATGTATTCTGTCAGGTTTTGAAGAAAGCAGGACTAACACTCAAAACAGGAAAGACACCAAATGTCCTCGGTAAGAATTCTCATACATTTCGTACATACTGTAGGCAGTTGGTTTGCGACTTGTTAAATGATGCTAAATCATACGTTATTTTCTTTCAATATTTGTAGATGTTGACCAGGCTGTATTTCAAAGAAATCTACAAATAGCATTAAAGAGACGTGATAATTTTCCTTCGGTGAGATTTTACATATAGTTACTCTTGTATCCTATGAGAATAGTATGCTGCAAGAGGAGTTAACCAATTTTTTTTTTCCTGAATTCAGCATCTGCTTAATTTTAATTGCAGGTTCTTGATGAGTTCATTGAAGGATTCCAAGAATATATTGAAGATCAGCATAGGTGAAATTTTTTTTTTAAAGAAAATGTCTATATCTATAAATAGTATTTAAAAATGCCATTAAAAGTATGATAGTGACACAAATATAGAGAATGTAAATCTCTGCCATTAGCTTAAATTTAACAGGTCCAAAATCAGTATTTAAAAACATTAAGCCTACCAGTGTCTATATCACTAATGATGACGATATCGGAACCTTATTAACATTGTAATATTATGAGGGATTTTTTCTGACAAATTAGGCATGTGAATATGCATGTGTATAATAATATTAAGTGTTTTATTCTAACGCCAGCCATGTTATTTCTTTTTCTATACAGTCTCATTTTTTTTATTTATTTCAAGGTTTCACTATAGCTTACTACCAACACAAACATCGGACAAATGTGAAAGGTATTGCAGTATTTTTGTTCAAAGATATATAGACCTATACAATTTATAAAATGAATGGTCACAAATACATGTCTTAATCTAGTGCTAGAGTGTGATATTTGTTAGATGCTCTAAGAAAATCTACAGAGAGTTTATTAGTTCCATTGTTTTGTTCAGTGCTCGATGCAGCTCACAGGACAGCCTTGTGAGGTTGTTGATTGGAGTGGACGTTCTACAGGTAAGTGTGGTCATACAGGTGACAACGTAACTCAGACGTTTTGGTAATCCTCTAGATTAAGGACAAAACATGAATTTACAGATGTCCTAAAATATCTTTCTTTATAAAAGATTATTATTTTTCAGTCCAAGATGATGATGTGTCTCCTGGAGAAGCTAGCAGAATTCATGGAGAATGAAGAGTGAGTAGTATAAAGAATCACTCAGAGAATGAAAGTGAATATGATACAGTTATGGAATGGGTAGGATGAAAAGACCGAAAAGACCAAATTTATGGTTCCCCGAGGGAGGAAACTATTTCCAGAGATGGCAAAGCCACCCAGGGAAATTCAAATAGTCTCCTGTTGAGAGTGGAACTATAACTTAGCTATTTCCAGAGTAGTATAAAATGTCACATGGGGAATGAGTAGTGTCAAATGTTACATGGAAATAGAAGAGTGAATAGTATGAAATGTCACGTGGAAGTTGTTTATGTGTAGATAACTACTGATTTAAGTCATATGTTATCTTTAGCTGTATAGTGGAGCACGGAGAGAAAGTCAATCTCCCTCGACTTCTGATGAGTCAGTTCCGCTGGTTAGACAGGATCCTGGATTGCAAGGTAGGATATGACTTAAAATACGGTAAATCACTTCTTATTTGTGAGATCTTTATTTTTTCGTAATTACAAGAGAAAGTTAACCGGCCAAACTATCATTCTCATGACTCATGTATATATAGTCTTTGCAAAGATTGCATATAGCAGTAATCATAGTTCGTGAAAATTTTGTCTAGCTAATACTGATAGTTAATGTCTATCTCACAAAAATAAGGTGTTGTGAAAATAAAGTGATCTACAGTTCGACAAGAAATATAAATTTGTTTTTTTTGTGATAAACAGTATTGTGGAATCACTTTAATTTGTGGGGGTCAATGTTTTTGGGTAGACACAAATTTACTTGTTCAAGGAATGCAATCTGTGAGTTACTTGTTTAATTGGTAAATTCAATAAATTGATTTGTTGACAATAAAAACATTTGTGGCAATTTTAATTTGTGGTTAGAGATGACCAATGGAATTCATAAACAAATGATCCCCCATGAAATTTACAGGTACTTGACCTATTCAAGAATAATCAGTGTGTTCAGGTATTTCCTACAAAATGTATACAGTAACACACACTTGTAGCCAAATCCTTTGATTTGTAATCAATGTTAATGAATATATGTTAAGTTCATACTTTTTTTGAAAGTACCAAAAATGAACATTTAACTGTACTATATAAAGCTGGAATTCCTTATAACTTTGTTGCTGTTATAGTATTTTGCTATTTTAAGCGTGAAGAATAAAATACATGTATTGTCAAATTTATCATCCCCCACCCATAAGTTACATGATTAATCTTAACTAATCTTAAACAGGAGTTGGCAGACAAGATGCTGGAGATGATCAGCATTGTATCAGTGGACATCCAGAGAGAAATCATCACCTGTCTACCTGAGGTTGTGGAGGATTCAGAGCACAGTCATGTGGCCACATCACTGAGGTAAGCTTGACCAAACCACGAAATCCCCCCCCCCCCCCCCACACACACACACACACACACAACATTTTAATGATACCACAGCAAGAATCTCTGATCAGCATCAGTAAGGTGAGGATAACTGAAAAACATTACAAAGCTCTGCAAATCAGATCAACAACACAGATAGGCATGTTTGATAAACATCAAGAAGGAAAGCTGCATGTTTTTCAAAAATGAAAATGTGTGTAACATTTGCTGCTTTACTAGTCATTAGCACTGTATGTATTGTTTTAGTACAAAAGGAATGCATGTATGTTTATACAATGATAAAAAAAAAAAGGCTTTTTTGATAGATTTTTTGAGTAGTTTTATATTTAATACTGTTATATTTGTTGCTATCAGGGATCTACTGGTAGAAAAAAGCAGTCTCACTGTACCCATCCTGGACGCTCTCTCTAACCTCAATCTCAACCCAGAACTCATGATGGAGGTAAGAATTCTACAGAAATTTTATACCATAACAGTAAGCTTTCTCTGAAGATGAAATGTACAGTAAATGCAACTGAGGGAGACTGGGAGTTAAATTAGCACAAAAATTTAAGTATTTTAAGAAAGTGTATGTGGTCTTTTTGGGAGTGTATTTTAAGTGCATTGTATGAGCTGTATGAGAAGAGTAAAAGATGTAGTAGTAGGTTTGATGAATACAGACTGATGTACCCTATGCAAGATTTTGATTTAAGCAACATTTTATTATGTTTAAGCATAACAAGATTAGACAGTAGGCACATTATATTATACATTTCTGTAGGTCTGCAAATACGTGCTACAGACTCTGGTATTGGTGTACACTAGGCTAGATGTAATGTCTACAGTACTTTATATTATACATTGTAGGTTCGCGGCTCCGTACTACAGACTCTGGTATCGGTGTACAGTAGGCTAGATGTAATGTCTACAGTACTTTATATTATACATTGTAGGTTCGCGGCTCCGTACTACAGACTCTGGTATCGGTGTACACTAGGCTAGATGTAATGTCTACAGTACTTCATATTATACATTGTAGGTTCGCGGCTCCGTACTACAGACTCTGGTATCGGTGTACACTAGGCTAGATGTAATGTCTACAGTACTTCATATTATACATTGTAGGTTCGCGGCTCCGTACTACAGACTCTGTCCACAGTGGAGGTGGAGAATTTACCTGTTGTGGTCCGCTTCCTTCTTCAGTCTGTCACCCCAGCTGATGCTCAGGAGGTAGGAGAAACAAGAGGGACTCATTTTACAATTTTACTGAACTGTTGACTGCAGTACAAGTTTAAGATAGTTTCAACTGTAATATGAACACTGTGCATCCTAACTGTCTTGCATTAAATAAGTCTTTCTTGGGAAGAGCAGATCAGCAGCCATAATTTTACATGTAAGTCTTGGGTACCAAATTCATTCCAGCTGATTTCAAAGATACTTCTTCATGTTCTAGGTGTAATCGTTTGTAGGTTGTCATGGAAATTCGACAGAACCTTGATTTTACATCCAGTTTTCCATTAGCTACATCCACACCCCATGAAACAGTTAGCAGGAGGTAGGAGGCCTGTATAAAGATTGTGAAGTTTGTCAGTATTTGTTCTTTTATTTGTGCTGTAGAACTGAATTGAACCAAACATCCTAATATTAAATATTCATATTTCAGACAGCTGTCTGGAGATGAAACAAGAGGTGTAGAGTCTTTGACACTGGATGCTATCAAATCAGGAATCAGGTTTCAAAAGAGTGTCGCAGAGGCATGGATAAAGGTTTGCAGTTTGCAATATTTTTGAGAACAGTCTGACATATAAATAAAATCAACAAATCAGTAAATAAATAGAATGCAGAGAAGGGTACCTGCTAGGTTCCCAGATTATTCTCCATAAGAATCAATGATTTAAATGTTAATATTGATATTAAAATTACATTCGTATATTTTAAATCAAGAAAAATATCTTTTTTGCAGGCTATAGATTCTGTGAAGCAAACCTCTGACCACAAAGTAATAGACTTGTTTATCCTGCTGATTTTATACTCCACTGATCGAAAGAAACCTGTAGAGAGCCTCATCAGAAATAAAATCAGGTCAGGGGCCTTCACAGAGGTTCTGCTGCAGGAGGCCTTCAGGGAAAGGGCTCAGGTGATTGTTCTTCTAACTTAGAACAAATGCTGTTATTGTTAATTTTAAAGGCAATAGTTTTATAACAAAATGCCAGGGATGGGTGATTTTGCTCCATTCTAAAAGTAATTCGTTCAATCCGTAAGCTTCACAATATCTTTAATATCTATGATCAATAAAAATCTCTTCGCTATAAGTATCGATTCTTTATAAGAGTGTTCGTTTTATGCGTGTTTTACTGTAATTGTATGATCATTCAGAAAAAGCAGTATAAATTGATATTTGAGAAACATCTTGACTTGTGTTGATTACCAGGTGATGAGAGACTACTTCCCCTCCATACTGTCCCTGGCTGAAGTCCTGCTCCGCTCACCAGAACCAGCCATTACAGTCTTTGCTGCCTCCATGTACAGGAACGGATTTGTGGCCTTTGACACATACTGTCAGCAGGTCAAAACTTTATGTCAACCTCTTTAAATATTTTATGAAAAAAAGTGTCTTATATAAATATGGTTTGTGATATTGTGGTTGTCTAGTAGACATTTTGTGTCCTTAAAATTAGACACAGGATTCCTGTTAAGTAGACACTGGACTCTCAACTGATAGACACAGGATCCATATTAAATTGAAAAGTGATCCCTCAGACCCCGAAGAAGAAGACACAGGATTCATACATGTAACCAGTATATTCAAAATCCTTAGCAAAAGATGTAGGACATGATTAAGAATGACATGTTCTTCCATTAATCTCAACTTCTTCCTTGTTTTTAGGAGATAGTTGGAAATCTAGTCACCCACTTTGGTAGTGGATTTGAAGGAGAGACAGATTCTTCTCTAGATATACTGTACCAGCTAGTGGATAAACACCTGGACAAAATGGCACCTTTTGCAATCTTTGTTAAGGTGACATTGAAACTTTGATAGACATTTGCTTCTCTTTTTGAAAAAATGAACATAACTGTCTAAACTTGTATTTCCAAATAGAGAATGATCTATCATTTTCAGATACCTGTAAGTGATAAATGCATATTAAGTGTTCATGTGTATATATGTAAAAATTTATCAATGTAGAAAATTTCAGATAAAAAATTAGAAGGGAAATTTTTTCCCCTTAGAAATCCTTTATCCCCTTTAAATTTTATGATGGGCCATGCACATTGAGGCTTTCTTCACTGTCTTCTTTTGTTAGGTTGTTCTGGACTACCTTGATAATCTAAGTGTCCTCCAGATAAGGAAACTGTACTCACTCCTCAGCACACTGGCATTCAGAAGTACCCAGGGAGGAAACATGATTCAGGTACAGTCAACTTAACTGTAAAGCAAAAGGGTCTAGTTGATGAAATTAATTAATTTAAATTGATTAAAAAACACACATTCACAAGAAATTCAAATTATTATCCCAACAAAATTTAAATCCTTAAAAGAAATATTAAATTAGTACCTTTCCAGAAGAGAGAGGTATTCATATTTCAGCTAATTGCTTTTTAGCTCACCTGAGCAGAAGGCTCAAGTGAGCTTTTCTGATCAAAATTTGTCCGTTTGTGTCGTCGTCATTGTCGTCGTTGTCGTTGTTGTCGTTAACTTTTCACATTTTCATCTTCTTCTCAAGAACCACTGGGCCAATTTCAACCAAACTTGCTACAAAGTATCCTTGGGTAAAGGGGATTCAAATTTGTTCAAATGAAGGGCCATGCCCTTTTTCAAGGGGAGATAATTATGAATTAGAGAAAAATTGATGGTATTTTTAAAAAATCCTCTTCTCAAGAACCACTGGGCCAGGAAGGATGAAACTCATGTGGAATCATCCTCAGGTAGTGTAGATTCAAGTTTGTTCAAATCATGACCCCTGGGGCTAGGGTGGGGCCACAATGGCCGACCCAAGTTTTACATAAGAATATATAGGAAAAATCTTAAAAATCTTCTTCTCAAGAACCACTGGGCCAGGAAGGATGAAACTCATGTGGAATCATCCTCAGGTAGTGTAGATTCAAGTTTGATCAAATCATGACCCCCGGGGCTAGGGTGGGGCCACAATGGCCGACCAAAGTTTTACATAAGAATATATAGGAAAAACCTTTAAAAATCTTCTTCTCAAGAACCACTGGGCCAGGAAGGATGAAACTCATGTGGAGTCATCCTCAGGTAGTGTAGATTCAAGTTTGTTCAAATCATGACCCCCGGGGCTAGGGTGGGGCCACAATGGCCGACCAAAGTTTTACATAGGGTTATACATATAGGGAAACCTTTTAAAATCTTCTTTTCAAGTACTTCGAAGCCATGATTAGTGATATTTATATGGATAGTGTAGATTCAAGTTTGTTCAAACCATGACCCCCTTGGGTGTTAAAATTCAAGCCCCCCTCTCAGTTAACTTTCAGTTCTGATCTGATATGTGCTTTTTCCTAGCCAATGTGCTAAGGTGAGCACTGTGGCCCCTGGGCCTCTTGTTTTTACTTGGAAGTTATTAGAGAAAATGACTTTGTAAATTTATAATAATGTCTGTTTTTCATTTCTAGGATGATCTTCACATCATAATAAGGAAGCAGCTGTCCAATGATAATCCAAAGTAAGTGTAACTCCATCTTACAATATTTACATTCCGTCTATTTTTCCTTAGGAAATTCATTAGAAATCCACGACATTCAAATTTCTATAACACACGTGAAACTTTTTCACCGCGCATTAGAATACATAGTAGGAACTATATGCATTTTCTATAATCTAGGAACACCAAAATGTACAATGATTTGACTCAATTTAATTAAAAACTATAATCCTGTTAAATTAACATAAAAATAATACAAATGTGCATTTACAATTAATTTGTCACTTTTTTTCCTCGCAATGTTTGTTTGCATTATTTAACTTTGCAAAGTCATCTGACATCACAAACGGCTCTTCCGTCTATTAACCACGTTAGTTTTGAAGGGCGCTAAATTCACATTAAATATTAACGAAATAAGCAATTATGAAGAAGGAAAATTAGAGAATGTAAATATAAGCATTGAATTAATATTTTTAGCTGTCTTCGGTCCTATAACACACCTGGCCATGCCAACAAATTTATCATACTGCGCTAACGTGCGGTATTCAATTTGTCGGCACGGCCAGGTGTGTTATAGGACCGAAGACAGCCAAAAATATGAATTCAATGCTTAAATAATCCAAAATAAGAATGGTAACTCTGTCTTACAATAATCCAAAGTAAGTGCAACTCCATCTTACAATAATCCTAGTCCGAAAAATCTGACGTTTATCTGGCTTTTTTACGCGATTTTGATATTTTACATGCCAGGAAAATGTCAAGAACTGACACCATTACGAAAACTGGGAAATCGCCGCCTCGAACCGGAGGCGGCATTCAGAGGTTGATTTTCGATACTTGTAAACCGAAATAAATGCTGAATTCACATTTTATCAATAGTACAACACCTTTAGTACTCACCAACACCGTTTTTATGTTTCGTTTATGAAATAATATAATCCAATGAACACATTTTATCTGACTGTTGAGATTTGTTTTCATTTCGTGCATTTTAAAATCGTGCAAGTTCTGAATCGGAATGTGGAGTGGTAATTTCTATTCATCGATATTGGTGAGTTCTAGGAGCATTGTGCCATTGATAAATTGTGATTTCGGCATCTAATTCGGTTCCCAAGTTCAGAAAATCAACTTCGGGTAGAGACGGTAAAATTCCCGGTTTTCGTAATGGTGCCAGTTCTGACGTTTTCCTGGCATGTAAAATATCAAAATCGTAAAAAAGCCAGAAAATCGTCAGATTTTTCGGACTACAATAATCCAAAATAAGTATGGTATATACATGTAGGTTAAGAAGCATGAACATGATAAAGAATGGGATATTTTTATGTCTTTATTTTAGATATAAGAGAATGGGCATCATTGGAGCTGTAATGGTGGTAAAAAGTATCGCATACAATCAGTAAGTTCTGATGACTTAGAAACAATGGTAGACATTTGACATATATGTACATGTATTTTATGTGACAACCTCCACAAATCTCTACAGTTAACAAATCTTGAACTTCATTTTCTGAAGATCATTTGTTAAAAGAGTCTGATTAGATTTCGTAAACTTAGATAGGTATTTTATGATATTTCCGGTAAGTATAATTTGGTAGCAAAAAGATTAAAGTGGGCCCCCATCTAAAGATTATGTACACTGGAATATAAAACATGAAGATTCTGTTCTTTTGCATTAGAAATGGAGACAATGATCCTAGCCAGGTTCCTGCTGGTCCTATGACGGAGAGCCTGTACAAACAGGTGATAAACCTGTTACAACTGGTCAAAACCAGCAGCAGCCGGATGTCAGAGGCCGCCGCTCTCTTCATGGATGAGCTGGCTAATGTGGTGGGCAAAGGTCACCTTGACAGCAAAGTGGAGGTGGGTGAATGGATGCATTTGTCATCAGTTATGATATATTTCAAATATTTTTCATAGGCACAAAAAAAACCAAGCAAAGCTCATAAGCATTGAATGTACTCAATCCAATGAAAATTATACACTATCACTTCTGAAATATTTGGCAACATCCCAGTCAATGTCATGACAGAGTGACCTTCCATTTAGCCAATCAAAGGACAAGATAGGCTAAGACCCCTTTTTAGCTCACCTCAACGAAGTTGGGGGAGCTTATGTGATACCGTCGGCGTCGGTGTCGGCGTCGGCGTCCCACGTTAAGGTTAAGTTTTTTGGGGCAGTTTTCTTTTTAAGTACTTCTATGTCCTATATTGATTAGACATGCATGGAAGATGCTTCTAGTGTCTTTCATTGTACCAGTCCAAGATTCAGATGCTGCAGTTTAAACAAAGAAATGACCAGATTAATGTTTTTTGGAGCAGGTTAACATTTTTGGTGCAGTTTTTGGTGTAGGTTTCATTTCCAAGTAACTATAAGCCCTATGTTGACCAAACTTGCATGAATGATACATCTAAGGATGCATACTACCGGGCTTGCTTCGGATGCTGAATCTGACCTACATTTTCCGGTTGAGTGAACAGGTTAAAGTTTTTGGTGCATATTTCAATTCCAAGTAACTATAAGTCTTATGTTGACCAAACTTGCATGGATGATACATCTAAGGATGCATACTACCGGGCTTGCTTCGGATGCTGAATCTGACCTACATTTTCTGGTTGAGTGAACAGGTTAAAGA